TCTTAAAGATCGCTTAGTTTGTTTTAAAGATCGTTTAGTTTGCTCTTAAATGTCCCTTAGTTTGTTGTTAAATATCGTTTAGTTTGTTCTCAACGATCGCTTAATTTGTTCTTAAATGACGCTTAATGTGTTGTTAAATATCGCTTTCGCTGAGTATTAAATGACCAAAAACTAGAGTTACTTTCGGCCGGTGGCCGAAAGTCTAAGTCAATTTCGGCCGAAACCGAAGAAAAACCGAAAGTTAACTTTTCTCTTTCGGCCGAAACCGAAATAAAGCCGAAAGTTAACTTTTCAGTTTCGGCCGAAACCGAAACTTGGCCGAAAGTGATAAAATGGCCACTTTCGGCGCCGAAACCGAAGCCGAAGCCGAAATTCGGTCGGTCTCTAACCCACACCCAATTGAATGCAACACGTCAGCATAGACAGATCGTTGTACCCCCACCCAATTGAATGAAACAAATCAGCATAGACAGATCGCCGTACCCCCACCCAATTGAATAAAATATATCAGCGTAGACAGATCGCTGTACCCCCACCCAATTGATTGAAACACATCAGCATAGACAGATCGCTGTACCCCCCACCCAAATGAATTAAACACATCAACATAGACAGATCGCTGTAACCCCACCCAATTGAATTAAACACATCAACATAGACCAGATGGCTGGAATCCTCCCCAACTGAATTAAACACGTCTGGTTCGTCCATATTGTTTAACCACCAACCCTCACTCAATGAAAACATCAGTATAGAGCAGATCTCTTTTGGCCTTGCCTGAAAAAAGGAACGCAGCACAACAACGAACGTGTCGGCAGGAAGCCTACGTCAGCGAACGAACAACAGAAAAAAGAAACAAAAAAAATCTGAGATGTAGTATCCGAGAGGGCAGCAAAAGAATTGCACAACTCTTCAGCTATAAGCCCCACTACAAATCTGAAACCCAATTTTTTCATCAATAAAATACCACAAAAGCCCATTTTAGCGCCCCTAACTAGTCTGGCACCAGGGGCACCTCCCCCCCACCTCTGTCATTCGCTACATCACTGTAGCCAGCCTTCCTTCTGAGTAATGAATCAAGGATTTCATAAAGTTTCGTTTACACTTTGGTTTTATTTTGCCGAAAGCAACTTTTATTGCCAGGGACGTCAGGGTTGTTCTGATCTCATCACCTGATGTTTATCGTTTAGTAATTACTGTGCCTCATTTTCATCTTCAAACCAATCTTTATTTCTGCGAGTTGTAGGTCCAAGGGGATCTAAAGCAGTGGACTAGATGGTATCTCTAAATTTAGACCATTTGTAATAAATATTTATGTTCTCGTGGGTATAAAATAGAACTTAAATTTTGGACATAAGTCGATGGTCGGTCTAGCGTTCAGCTCCCCTGGTGGGTCTGGAGTAAATAGTTCAATTTCTAGCAAATGGGCTAAACTAATGAAGATTATTACGTTAATTTACACGAAAATATATCTTTGTATTTACTAATACAAACTCATCCCCCGATTTCTACCAGTTTGTCCCGTTTTTATCATGAGCTCTCTAGAAAGGGAGCTTAATGTTCTTAGTAACAAAATTAACATCTAGTCATAATGTTTCTCGTTCTGTCTTCTAGTCTTCCGACATTGACTCTGATGAATTCCACACAAGTCGACCTCGACGACGCATCCACCGTCCCGCTACATGGATTACCCGCCGGCAGTCTATCTGATATTAATCTGTTCACCTTCAACCTTTGGTTCGTGGTGGTGGCCACCTCTTGCCTGGCGTGTTTCAGCATTGTGGCTAACCTCATCAACTCCTGCGTGTTCCCCCGTCAGGGGCTGTCCGAGAGGGTCAACGTCACGCTGCTGTGTCTGTCTGTTACTGATGTGCTGGCCAGCGTGAGCGCCCTGGGCTTCACGGCCAGCTACAGCGGCAAGCTCACGCCATTCGCAAACCTCAACATCGATGTCCTGTCGCTGCTGATGATCTTCGCCTGGATAAGAGCTTTCTTCATCGACCTGTCGTCGGCTCTGACCGTCTACATCACCATCGAAAGAAGCATCTGCGTGACTTTTCCACTGTCGTTTAAAACGTCAATCGTCGCACGTAGGTCCAAAGTCATCCTCGCGACTACAACGTTGTTCGTTTTCGTCAACTACATCCCGATCTATGCCACGCTCAGATCGACCTACGCCAACGACACGAATGGAAACTCGACGATACTGACTTTAGTTTATACCGATCTTCACCTAAGCCTGGGACTCGCCAATGATTTCTTGTTTGGTATCGCCCTGGCGGTCTGCTGCCAGATTAGCGTTTTTACGTGCGCCGTGCTCATGTACTTGAGTCTGCGAAAGTCGACGGAACTGCGTGATAAACAGAGAATGGTACACAACGGTTCACCGGCTAACCATTTCAAATCAGACCCCAACAACCCAGGTCTACCGAAACGGGAGAAGCGCGTGGTGAGGATGATTCTAATGCTGGCTTGCCTCTACATTCCGACCAGTTTACCGCAGATTGTCTTCTCTTGTATCAGGGTCGGGCTTCCCGGGCTGTTCGTGACGTCACGAAACATCTACGACGCGATCGGCGCAGTGGTCAAGATGTGCACCACAGCGAATGGTGCCTTCAATATATTCATTTACTACCACTTCAGCAGCAGGTACAAAGAGACGGTCTCGTGTCGGGCGAGGGAGTTAAATGCGACGAGCAGAAGTGAAATTGTTTAGTGTTGAATATGTCACTAAAAGAATGTATTACATTTTGAAACCTAATAATTTTTTTTTAATTTGAAAAAAAAAACAAAAAAAAAAACAAACTACAACACACCTGTATTTTCACCTAAATACCCCCCACCCCTTTTTTTTGCCAGCTAATTTAAAGTTGATTTAACCCTCATAAATCAACCAAAATGAAATGTGTACCAGCGCTATTTGTATACAAATGCATTGTTTCGTTATTGTGAGTATTTAGATGGTGATTTTGATGTCAAGTGCAGAGATACAGGAAGGAAGTAGTGAAGTAGAGAGCTAGGTTTCAAATGGGGGAGATGCTCTTGCAAAGTGTTGAAGATTTATTTAAGATCTATCACATCGAATCGGAGCGGCCATCTTCGATCTGCTCATATTTGGACATGTATTTATGTTGTGAATAGTGACCTTTCAATGTGATAGTTCATAGTGTTGAAGAGAAAAGATGCGCTCCACCTGTCTGACTTGCTATGCTTCAATCACATGTCTAACTCTGTTTTACTTAAACCGCATGNTGAGCTGTGGGATGCCTCAATAGGGGGTTGAGCTGTGGGATGCCTCAATAGGGGGTTGAGCTGTGGGATGCCTCAATAGGGGGTTGAGCTGTGGGATGCCTCAATAGGGGGTTGAGCTGTGGGATGCCTCAATAGGGGGTTGAGCTGTGGGATGCCTCAATAGGGGGTTGGGTTGTAGGACTTGCCTCGAGAGGCGTTGGGGCCTGGGTTATTAATTGACATACATTTTTTTGTTAAGTTAAACGTATTAATGTTTACATTGCTGACAATATTTATAGCAACTGCAGCTACAGGAGGAATGCGATAGATAAGCAGCACTGCACTTAAGAATACCCATTTTATTCAAATGAAAGCTCTTCGAATTTCCACAAAAATTTCTCTTAATACAGGCAAAGATGGGAAAGATAGATTATGATTTTAATGTTTAAATCTTTGCTATGTTATTTCAATTTTAAGTACGTGGCAAAATGTCCAAATAAACCCCGTTTCAACTGCTATATTTCTTTTCAAAATGTTATGACAAGGTGTCAATCTTGAGGGTAAATTAGTAAGTTGAAAACCTCAGAGTGAGACTGATTTTTTCAACTTTGATGGAAAACATTTAATGTTTGACAAATTTTAGACTGAGATGCTAATTATTTACAATCCATTTGAATGTTTTTATGACTAAATATGTTCTCAGGTTAAATTTTTAGAGATAGTATATAAGGGACTAAATTTTAGACTGAGATGCTAATTATTTACAATCCATTTGAATGTTTTTATGACTAAATATGTTCTCAGGTTAAATTTTTAGAGATAGTATATAAGGGACTAAGTTCAAGCAAAATTTCTTATAATTTTCCTTTATTTTTTTATTTTTCAAGCCTTAACAAATCTTGTTCCACTATTTATTTACATTTTAGAAGTTATTTTTCTCGTAAAATTTCACTTTCAAGAATACTGGACTGACTTTTTCTCAATCTACTTTCTTTCTGACGAGGCACAGTATTACCAGGGGTACGCGCAAGTGATGGACGTCACCAGTTTATTTCCAGTTGCCTTATTTTAGTCATTGTCACTTTCTAATATTGTTTAAGTCTTGAGAGGTTCCACACATTTGACAGCTTAATGGCCTTGTCAGAGGATGGGATACAAGGATACAATCTATACACGTCCACCCACTTCACACATCTGACAGCTTAGTGGCCTTGTCAGAGGATGGGATACAAGGATACAATCTATACACGTCCACCCACTTACTTTCCTTTCTTCTTATCTTTGTTTTCGCATTGGATTTGTGTCCAATCTTTGTTTTTTTTTTTCTTAAATTTTAACAGATATAAGAAGGACATAAACATATTGTGTGACATTTAATTTACATTGATGTTATTTGTTGTTGTGTTGTTCTGAAGAAGGCGTTATCTCAAAGTTTTCAATTTGTGTTTTGTCTAATGATAATGAAAGCTTACATAAACTGTTAGACACAAATTGAGTCTCATTAATGTTAACAAAACTGTTAGACACAAATTATGTCTCATTAATGTTAACAAAACTGTTTGACACAAATTGTGTCTCATTAATGTTAACAAAACTGTTTGACACAAATTGTGTCTCATCACAAATTGTGTCTCATTAATCTTAACAAAACTGTTTGACACAAATTGTGTCTCATTAATCTAAACACCAGTTAGTTGGTCCAGTGTCACTGTCTGAAAGTGCTTCAAATATTTACACGTTCACAACATAATTGCTCATCCTTGCCCTACCTAATTTTCTGTTTCGGTTTAATCCTGAAGTGTCAAAGTGTCCTCTTTTTATAGCCATTTTCATTGTTTCTATAGAATAGTAGTTACTATCCTAGTGTCTCATTTGTATTTACTTAGTTTACATGTTTTAATAACTGTAAAGCGCTTAGAGCTTTATGATAAGCGCTCTATAAAAATGCCTAAATAAATAAATAAATAAATTGTTACAGACTTTCTGTATATAATGACATTATACTTTTTTATATGTAAACATATTAATTCAGACTTTAGATTCATTGTTGTAAACTAGTTTATTTGCATCAATTTTTAACATTTGCATGAGAAAGTTGTATAAATGTTTTAAGTATATTTGATATAAATCAATATTTTAAAATTATCATGATATTATTAGTCATCCTAGTATAATTAAAGTACAACCATGAGAAATATTTCAAGTAGTTGATATTCTCTTTGTGTACTTATGTAGCTCAGGTCCAAGCCACGTCTGCACAGCAGTAGGTATGCTGACCCATTTCTCTTGGCTGTGGATGTTCACGTGGGCGTTCATCTGCTGCTTCCACATGTTCAGAGTGTTCACCGCCAAGACCTGCTGCTCATCCTCCACGTCACGTGGTCACACCGCCGAGCTGATCAAGAAGTTGTTATCATCTTTAGTTTTCCCCCCTTCTTGTGGTCACCACGGTGGTTATGTCATCCAGTGATGACGTCACCTGATCAAAATAGTGGCTATGGTCAGGTCACCTGCTATTTAAAATTCAACTCTACTCATTGGTGCGTTGAATAAAAACTTTTTAAAAAATCGGAATTTTTGAACTCTTTTAACAGCCTATTATATTAATCATCCATTACATTATTTACATTCAGCTTTTTTAAAATAAAAAACCTTTATTGCGATGAAATATAACTGTTCATATATTAAGTGTATGCATGTCCTATTTTCATATATAGTCGCCTACAATTGTAATTTATTGGTTATATAGGAAATCAGGTCCTTGCTTGGCCATATCACTTTTAGAACTCGTTTATTTCGCATCTGAAATAATACATTTAAATACGTGTTTTGCGGAAATTAAATTAAGTCTAAATTTAACGATATATTAAATGCATTAAATTTATATTATAAAAAATATTGTGAAATAGTCTTGTTTTATATAATATTTGAGTAAAATGCTTGACTCCTTAACGTCACTCTTTCAGTTGACACCTTGTAATTAGAAAATTAAAATATATATTACAAACTATTTTTAAAAACATATTTTGTATACATAATCCACAACCAGCTATAATTTTAAAATTTATATATCTTTAAGAGTTTATTTTTCTAATGCCGATGTATGTAACCAATCGTAAAATTTTGCAGCTATCACGCTAACAGTGGTGCTGCCGTCTTAAAGACATATCAATGACGCTGTTTGATGTTTTTGTCCCCACTAGGACTTTCTGTCGTCACACCACTCGCTATCGTCCTGGTCTGTAACGCCGTATTTTTCACCATAGTGGTGGTCCACATTGAAAGAGTCAGGAAGCTGAACTCTTCGGATACTTTTAAGAAGGAAGATCGCCAAAACCTTTGCGTTTACCTCAAGTTGTCGTCCGTGACAGGAGCATTCTGGGCTATGGCTATCATGGCTGAGGCACTAGAGAGTGATGCCTTAAGGTAAATAAATATAGCTACCCGGGATGCTTTCCTTGTCAAACATATCTCTTTGGCAATTTCGAAAGATAAGCATCTAAGTATGTCAAATAAACATTTAAAATCCGCCCTACGAAATGTTTGAATTGAATTGTATTAAATTTATTTCTGGACTTTATTATTTATAAATATTTCGATATCATTATATCCAGATTCATTTCCATCCTGTTGAATGGGCTTCAAGGGGCTTTCATCTTCTTATCCTACGTGTGCAACAAGCGAGTCCTCTATTTATATGTGCCCCGCTTACGCGGAGACACGAAAAGCTTCAGGCGGTCCACGCAGCTCAGCCACACCAGCCACACGGAGACGACCAGCATCGACTCACCTCAAAGCTTCAGGGGAGCTGGGGACAGGGTCAAGGTGTTAAAACATGCACTCCGACCGACCACTTAAGCAGCTCACAGGAACGATGGATAAAAACAAATGCAGCTCTTTTATTTAAAAAAAATAATAATAATAAAAGTGACTCTCTTGAAGATGTGGATACTTTAATTTTTCAATAACTTTTGACAAGATAATATATTTTTGATGATCATATATTATTTAAAAAAAAATAATAATCCTCTTTTTCGTTGTAGGTATTCGACATTTTGAAAGGTGTCGATACTAAATCAGATATTCAATAAAGTATGACATCCGTTTATTTCCTTGAGAGTGAAGTGAGACTAGTTTAAGGAGGGGCAAGTTAAGGAGGGGCAAGTTAAGAAGGGGCAAGTTAAGGAGGGGCAAGTAAGGGGGGAAGTTAAGGAGGGACAAGTTAAGGAGGGACAAGGTGCAGCTTTCAATATTGGGTAAAGATAAATCGGTGGCGTTGGCGACACAATAATGGCTGAAATGTCCATGGTACCTAGAGAAAGGGAGAGTTACTACATAAAGGCTCACGGGGCGAGGGGAAGAGTTGTTTTTTTTTTTGGGGGGGGGGGGTTGTAAGGTTGTCAATAGAAATGATTTAATTAAGAACTTCAGATGTTACATAAATTAAAAATTTGTTCCATAGGGGATGATACACTCAAACGCCCCCCCCCACTCTTCCAAACCAAAATAAATAAATAAATAATAATAATAATAATTATAATAATTAAAAAAGGAAAAGGGGAGCTGGCTATGGTGTTTTTATCAAGATTTTTGTTGCATCTCATTAAATTTGACGATAATGTATTGCTTCAAAGTGTAAGAAAGAAAAGACGATTGCCATTTATGTAGCTTACTCCGGCAGATGAAAAAAAAAATGGCTTCGAAGATATAATTGGATCGTTGTCTGACCTACAACTCATGAGTATCAATATCTATTGGAGAACACTTTTTTTCCCCTTACTTTTCAGTTTAAAACCTATTTGACTCACATGATTTCCAGACCGAAATCCTTCATGATTTAAAATGCTTACATTTTTTAATTTAGTTTTAATGCACTTTTCACTCTCTCGAAAACCTTTTTCTAATCAATGCTTTTCAGTTAGTGTTAAGTATTCAGATCATTCGGCGCTTGACGTTATGGCACGGGAACAAGAAACGCGATGAACATGATGTCACGCTAAGTGATTGCAATGCTAAAACGTGTCAATGAAAACCACATTTGTAATTTATAGTTCAACGGAAAATAGCGTCATTCTTGTCACAAAAAAAAAAAAGAAAAAAAAAGAAACAACACGAATACACTGTTCTGCACCCAAACGAACTACGTTTATTCAACTTTCCTCAAATACTTGACAAGCTTAAATCTCAAGGATCAGCTTTGCAATCAATTAGAGAAAAGCTAATCAGTTGATTTTGTTTGCAGCAGAACACCAGTAACAACAGCAAAGTTATAGACGAATTAAGAGACACAGCAAATTGGTGGTATCTTTAAAAAAAAAATAAAGTAAAAAATAAGTCGTATCTAAGCAATCAAAAGCGGAAATTAAAATACAACAACAATGTACAACAAGTGTTAATCTCTGATATATATTACGCTTCCGGTGTGACACGTGGTCTACTTCCATTACTGGCTGCTTCCTATTCAGCGTATTTGGTATTGAGAGTATATTACAAATAATTGTATATGTTTGACAGATAGTATATATATATAAGAATGAGCTAGGGTCACATAACGCCAAAAGAGAGATATGATAAGTACGTTTGGATTCCTAAAAACAATCATAGTTATTTTTAGGCGAAAGATTATTTTGCCAAAACTCTTAGGTTTCTTTAAATGTAATAACCGCACGTTACAAAACTTATAATGTATTTTACCTTCTGAAAAGTAAAATTAATAATTAAAATTGATTGCTTTTTAAATTGTTAATAAAACACACACACATTTTTGCTTCGTATATTTTTACATTTAAAAAGTTTTGCCTGTTTTGATTCCAAAAAATTATATTTTTGATAAATTTATAACGTAATAAAACTAACCTTTAAATATAATTCTAATAATAAAATGCAGTTTAAGTCAATCAGTGCAGCGCAACTCCATAGCTAAATAGCATTCACTAATCCACTTATACCTCATACCAATATGAAGTGCAAAATATGTTAGTTTGGGTATGGAAGGGACTACAATCCGGTGGAAGATTTTCTAAATTTATTTAAATCTGGGTGGGGGAGGGGTTGGTCACTTTGCCCCAGGCAGCACAAGATAAGTCTCAAAATAAAGGAATGAATTTGATAAATAATTAACACTCTTGGGTACATTCATATCGGAGGTAGGAAATAGGATGTGTACATTTTTAAGTGGATGACAATATATTTAAATCTTATGGAATTACATTTGAAATAAAAGAGACACCACATTCTCTTTTTGCAAATATGGGTATGTTCATTTTTTCCAAGGCAGCACAAGATAAGTCTCAAAATAAAGGAATGAATTAGATAATAAATTAATTTTGGTGGGTAAATACATGTTGGAGGTAGGAAATAAGATGTGTACATTTTTAAGTAGATGACAACAAAGTTAAATCCTATGGTAGTACATTTGTGAAAAAATAAGATGTTACATTCTCTATTTACAAATATTAGTCTGTTCATTTTGTCCAAGGCAATACAAGATACTCCCAAAATAAAGGAATTAATGTGATTAATAATTAACCTTCTTGGGTACCGGTATATAAATATCGGAGATAGGAAAAAATAATATGTACATTTTTACGTGGATGACAATATATTGAAATCCTATGCTATTACATTTGTGAAAAAGATATGTTAAATTCTCTTATTACAAATAAACATATTTACCAAATTAAGAAAATAAATGACATTAACAAATCTTGGGAACTTTTATTTATGTATATCCATGAAAATCAAATCCCAATCATTTTACACACCTGAAAATTAAATTTTTACAAATGAATATGGGTTAATATTTTCTTTTTTTTTTAAAGAAAATATATTTGTGTTGTTACTTTGCTAACATTAAAGAGGTTTGTATTTTTATAAGATTAACAATTTAATTTTTGTGAAAAGACAGTCAAATATGATATAAGCGGGAAAAACAGTTGCGAGATTCTTCTTAGATAAAAAAAATTCTTTGTTTTACGATTTTCTGATAATGTAAAAAAATTTTAAAAGTTATAATTCAAGGGCACGAAAAGGAGTAAATCTAAAGCATTTCTCTAGCGTAGTAATTGTCCCTCAATTAACTTCTTTAGTGACAAAAATTATATAATTAGTGATAATTTAGACTGAGTAATTTAAGGTCAGGTTTAGAGGGGGAAAAGTAGTTTACGAGCGTGAAAGGGTGTAGGGGACGCGTATCATAAATAGCAGATAAACACTTCTCAAAACTTAATGATAGTAGAAACGTAAATATCATTACATTTTTAAAGGGATGAGTTCTTGCAATAGCAGTTAGAAATTATCACAAAGGACCTACCATTATTTTCCCTCGAACATCGAGTTATTTATTCTGGTGGTTAAATAATGAGTTCACTAGGGCGCTAAATATAATTCCCGATAAATACGCAAAATGATATATATTTTAATTTTTAAATAACCAACTGCGTTTAGTATGTAACATATTCTTTTCGGAATATCGTCTCAATTGAAGTATGATGTAAAAAATATTCGATTTAAAGGTCACTAAGTCATCAGAAATGATGAGGCGGTCCAGCGACGGGCAGCACGCTTTGTCATGAACGCTACAGAAACACCTCAAGTGTTGGCAGCATGCTCAAAAAACCGGGCTGGTCAACATTGGAAGAACGACGACGACTATCCAGGCTCTTCATGTTGTACAAGGTCAAAAATGGGCTGGTCCACTGCTCCGGAATCAAACAGAAGCTCGTTCATCTTCCCCCCTAGACAGCGACGAGGCCACGACAGACAGTTCCGGCTGGTAGAAACAAGAACTCAGTACAGGAGCTCCTCATTCCTGCCGAAGACAATAGGGGACTGGAACAAGCTTCCAAAAGCAACAGTTGAGGCGGCTACACTCGAAACATTTGTGTCTATTGCCTCCTGTATTCCAACCCCCAGTTCGTAACACCACTGCCGAGTCGCCCTTGCAATCGGTGAAGTATCCCATTGAAACCCATGCACAGTAACATCGCGAACCCCTCTGAAACATAGGAGCCAGAATGATCAATTCATTGATCGTGGGCCCTCAAAATAAAGAAGAAGAAGAAATATTTAATATAGCTCATGGGCGGGAAATACAAATTGTGCAGTGACGCAACATGGGGAAAGGGGTGTAGCAAGAATTGGGATTCTTAAATGTGGGTTACTTGAATTCCTATTTTGTCAAATAACTTTAGTAGATGGGAAGTTCACGCATTGCTGTAGCTATTTTTTCGGAGGGGGGGGGAGAGGGAGGAGCTATATCTAGTCTTGGTAATAATCTCATTTGACTTCAATACTTGTCAAGTTTTACATGAATTCTGAACAAGGAAATGAACAACCGCAAGAAACACAATCAATCTTGTTCTATCATAAAAATAGGAACTGTCTTAAGGAAAGAAACAACGAGCTGTCTTAAGTAAAGAAACAACGAGCTGTCTTAAGGAAAGAAACAACGAGCTGTCTTAAGGAAAGAAACAACGAGCTGTCTTAAGGAAAGAAACAACGAGCTGTCTTAAGGAAAGAAACAACGAGCTGTCTTAAGGAAAGAAACAACGAGTTGTCTTAAGGAAAGAAACAACGAGCTGTCTTAAGGAAAGAAACAACGAGCTGTCTTAAGGAAAGAAACAACGAGCTGTCTTAAGGAAAGAAACAACGAGCTGTCTTAAGGAAAGAAACAACGAGCTGTCTTA